GGGGGTTGATCGAGGTATATAATGGAAAACAGGAATAAATAAAGGGGATGTAAATAGGTGCTGAAAATTTCCCGCCAAGACAGGTCGCAGCAATGGTTCAAAGGAAAAAATTCAGATTCAGAAGGTTAGGAAAAACACTGGTTTGGTAAAAGGTTGGGGTGGGGAACAAACTCCTGAGTACAGTTATTGAGGCTAAAAAGTTGTGTAGTTTTAAAAATGGTTAGAAAAATACATGAGTGGGTATGGGTGGGTGTGAGTTGGACCGACTAGCTTGTGCGCTGGTTGGTGCCGTGCCTTTCCCAGTGGAGGTGACCCAAGGGGGGGTATTGGGCAATCCGGGGGGGGGGGAACAGGGCCTGCTCCGCATGGGTCGTAGGCCTTTGCAGTGTTCCTTCTTTTTATGTTCTTATAGATTTGGGAAAATGGTATACAATACCGACAAGTGAAATTAAAGACACATGCGCAACATCGGGGATCTTTATTGTAGACGTTTCGCCAACTTTTTCAAGTGGCTTCCCCCTCCTAAAACGATTCGTAAGGGGACCACTTCTAGTTAGCGAGAACTTTGTTAGAGACATTTAGGTGGATAGGAAGGGGAGCAAAATCCACACAATGATCCTGGCCGTTAATGTATCTTGTCATAGATTTGATCGTGTGAAACTTGCTTAATGTGAAAGATGATTTCTTTTAATTCAAATCTTTTTCCTCTACTTTCTTTTTCTTTTTTGCCCCTCTCCCTCCTCCCATGATGTGTCATGGGGGTTGAGGGGATGAAAAAGGGAAGTGTTTACCCTGAGAGCCTTTTGCCCCTTCATCACTGCCAACCTCCATAACTCCCCTCAACACTGCCAACCCTTTTTATAATCCCCCCAACATGCCCCAAACCCCAGGTAAAATTGGCCCCTTAACAGGGAGTTAGTGTTGGGGTTTTGTCGCCTAAGCTGTAGTTTTGCACCCCTTTTCTCAGCCTGCGAGCGTTAGCGCAAAAAAAAAAAAAAATGCAGAGATTGCACTTGGTCTTTATCAGAAAGCAATATTAGTCATATATTGCATTTACTTCATATAGCTAATATACACAAGACAGTGTGGAATATAATCTCCAAATTGTTTGATATCATATTACCAGTAAAAACATTAGTCTTAATTAGATTGCAAGCTCCTCGATAAAATCAGTTCATTCATCTAGTTGATGCAAAATGAGGATACAGTCTCAAGATTTCAGATACCTTATTAACAATGAAATGTTTTGTCATGTGTGTGTGAGTAAGGTTGGGTGTAGTTATCTAGTGTATGGCCCTAGTCTGACCAGCGAGCTACACGCCATCCCTGGGCCGAGGAAGAGGGAGGAAATGTGGGACGGGATAAGGTGGAGGGAGTAAGAGGGGAAAGGGACAAAGTATGATGAAAGAGGTGGGGAGGGAGGAAGGAAGTAGGGTAGATGGAGGCAAGAGTGGGTTGGGGGATGACTGGGGTTGATGAGATAGAGGGTCGCCTGTGGCGGCGGCAGCAGCAACAGCAGCATCATGTGTGTGGCTAAGTAACCATAGAGACGGTGGCAGCTGCTGCTGCTGCTGCTTTCGTGATATAGGTAGTAAACCCTTTTCCTGTTGCTGCTGCTGTCGGGGCTCTTGATGCTGCTGCTGCCTTCCCATTAATATAGGTTGAAGAGATTTCCTGTTTTTTTTTTTCTTTGTGACTCATGCTTGCCTGGCCTTCCACAGAAGGTTCTGTAATAATCAAATAAGATATTACAAGGACCCCAATGGAAATAAGTCACGGTCTGACTTTTTTGGGGGTTAACCTAGATAATTTACACATGTTACAATGTATGGTAATTGTAAACGCCTAAATTTGTGTAACTGCGCTTGTGTACCTATACCTAAATAAACTGAAACATCTAATAGGTTAAAATTTATAGCATGGATGGATGATTATATGGAAACTAATGGCAAACTAGAGAGATTAAAAATATCTTTGTACATCTCCATAAAACACGTGACCAGCAGTAACAGCCTGGTTGATCGGGCAACCACCAAACGAGCCTGACCTATGGCCGGGCTCCGGGAGTAGAAATACTCTCGGAACACATCAAAGGTATAACAAAGATAAAGGTACTATTAAAATAAATTTCTCATATGGCTCCATAAGTCAACAATTAGATTGTTTTCACACACGACTTGGCTGTCAGGAAATTAATAAGTTCGTAAAAACAAAGATAATGTTGCCACCGGTTGAACCATCACAAGGCTGAGTATCACTTCTGCCTCATAGCTGCCGAGTCATAAAAGCTAAACACACAGTTTGCACATGACCTTGCATGTAGACACCACTCCAAGGGAATTTGGGAACTCGTAACTAAGT